TTTCGCGCCCTGCCCTCGCTTACCGAGGGCGCGAAAATGGCTGCCATTATGAGGAAACATCGCTTTACGGTGAGTGTAGAAGCCATTGGAACGCATTAAACGATGTTTAATGCGTTCCAGTGGCATTTTCCTATCCGTATAGCGATGTTTTCTCATAGCGATGGTTAATCCGGAACGGATTAACCGTCGCTATGCAGGGCACCACTGTACTGTAATGCACTCTATGCGGGGCTATCTTTGAGAGTGATGCGGAAGTGTCAAATGGTGCAGAAAGCGGTGGCCAGACGTCTCACTGGGGTGAGAAAATATCAGCATATTTCCCCTGCTCTGCCTGCCCTGAACTGGCTGCCTGTTCATTTCTGCATTTATTTCAAAGTGTTAATGGTGACATATAAAGCCCTAAATGGTTTAGGACCTCAATATATTGCTGAGCGCCTCCTCCAACCTAGATCTACCCGAATCACTTGTTCTAGCCAGGACAGGCGGCTGAGGGGCCTAACACCGAGAGAGGTCCAGAGAGAAAGAGCAAGAAACCAGGCCTTCTTGGCAGTGGCCCCTCGCCTATGGAATAGTCTGCCAACAGACTATTATGAATAAATAAATAGACAGACAGACAGACAGACAGACAGACAGACAGACAGATAGATACTGTAGATAGATAGATAGATAGATAGATAGATAGATAGATAGATAGATAGATAGATAGATAGATACAATGAAAGAAGGGAACAGGAAGCAAGGAATACATGCTCAACCACAGTTCTTGCCCATAGCTTTGTAAACTGTTATTTATTATGTCACAAGAGATTGTTCAACTTCAGCGAGTGACATCATCTGCAACTCTGGAGACTGAAAATTTGTGTCCAGGATTACGGACCTATGGGCCAAGAAGCCTGGTCTTCCGGGTCATATAATATTGGATTACTGGAAGATTTTGTTCATATAAAATGTGAATGCATCACGAAATAACGTAATATAAATAGTTCTGCATTGACATTTCTCTTCCCTTGAGTTGCCCCGAACTTGGTTCAGAATTTATTCCCTACATGAGAGAAATTATTGTGGTGGCATATTACTTAGCATATTAACTCATACTAGAGTAGGACCATTCAATCAGTCTGTAAATTTCATTGATTCAAATGGACCTACTTGTGACTTACTTTAGCATAGTACGTTACAGCAAAAGTAGGCCAATTTGAATCAAGGGAATTTACAAAGGAGTTGACTCAACAGATTCCCACTGATTAAACGGGCCTAGGTTAGTTCAACTTACTACACTAAGCAATAAGATTTTGGCAAAAGAGGCATCTCCTGCAGGTGTGGGCAACCTCCAGAAGTACAGGAGCTACAAATGTCCACCCTGGACCTTGGAGGCTCATCCTTCTGCCCCCCCCCTTTATCTTAACCTTTTTTAATGTAAGAAAGCTCTCTTTCACCCTCTAGTGGCAAAAATGGCTCTTGGGGACATGGTTGCTTCAAAAATTGCCTCCCAGTCCCATTAAGGACAAAGGCAGTTTCATGAATACAGTGGTGCCTTGCTTAACGATTACCTCGTTAAACGATGAATCCGCTTTATGATGGGTTTTTTTGCGATTGCTATTGCGATCGCAAAATGATGTTCCTATGGGTAAATTTGCTTCACGGCAATCGGTTCCTTGCTTCAGGAACCGATTCTTCGCATTACGATGATTTCCAAACAGCTGATTGGCGGGTCACAAAAGGGCCGCCCGCTGTGCAAAATGGCTCCCCGCTGTTTTTAGGATGGATTCCTCGCTATACAGGCACCGGAAAATGGCTGCCCTATGGAGGATCTTCGCTGCACGATGAGGTATTTCGCCCATTGGAATGCATTGAATGGTTTTCAACGCGTTTCAATGTTTTTTTAATTTTGCTTGACGACGATTTCACGCTGAACAGCGATTTGAATGGAACGGATTATCGTCGTGAAGCGAGGCACCACTGTATTTCTTGATTTTTAAGAAAAATTTGGAGGGAGAGGAACTGAGGGACCAGTGGTGTGGGATGACTGCATTTCGGCTGATGGTGCCTGAATGTGGCCGAAGGGCCATACTCTGATTTTACTAGAGGAGGGAAAGTTGGTGTGGGCAAATAAAAAAAGGGAGTGTTTACAGTAGTTTGCACCACCTACACAGCACCAGTTATACCTGAATCTAGCACCCCTTCTTTCCTCCTCCTTGCTTCTTCTCCCAGATAGAACAGAATCCTTTTGATTTAATCAATCATTTCTGGAATTAGGGATCAATGGTGTTTGCCCTCATGGCCCCTCTATGTCTCACTAAGCACAGAGCTCACAAAGGCAAACCAAAACACCTCTTGACATACTACCACCAATTGATCTCCTTATCAAGTTAAAGAAAACAGTCCATTCAGTACTGACTTTTTAATAGAACATATTTATTGATTACAGTTGGTTTCTGGAACAATTCATAAGCACTTTCTTCAAGTTTCATCAAGCTTCAATATTAACCTTCTATAGTAATTATCACAGTTTACTACACTCAGACTAATCACTCCCCAAACTATCCTTCTCTCTCTCTGATTCCTAACACAGACTGAACTCAACTCAGACTCGACTGACTCCCCTCGTCTCTCAGGCTACGCCTTTTAACATCTCTTGTGGCCCCACCTCTTAACCACATTAGCATATAACTCATGAATAATTCATAACTTATTGCGTAACAAGGGTGAACGCTACAGGGATCAATGGTCATTCTGATATATCAGGACTGAAGCAGCCTCTTAGGGTTTCAGCTGGGATCACACTGGGTCCAGAGGCCACATTGTCAGGGTTCCTGCTGTAACTGCTGAGGTTCAGCAGTTGCTAAGATTCACACTGAAATTCAGCCACCACTGTAGCTCTGTGTAGTGATGGTAGAAAGTGCCAGGGTGTACCGTAGTGCCGACCAGGTGTTTCCTTCCGTTCTGTAAGAGTAAGGTAATTGGAAAAATATTGGGAGATGGCAGTTTCTGACACTGTATTTCTGTCAGTAGCTTCAGCAGTGCCATCAGTTTAGAGATAATCAGTTCAATAGTGGCAAGTAGAAGCATTGAGGTAGGTGCAAAATCAGCCAGGTGTCACTTACTCCTATGAAACATTCTTGTTTGAGCATCTGGACTCAAAAACAAAATTGCTTTGTGAAAAAGGAAAACATTCCTAATGTGCTTTTGAGTTGTTTCAGGTTCAGCAAAGTGAAAAAGACTAAAGACTAGAGATGGGCATGAACCAGTTCATCCCAGTTCATAAAGGCCTCCTCTGACTTGTTGGGCCCAGCTTGCTTGTTGTTTCCACCTCCTCAGCTGATCTTCCAGTCCCTCATAAAGGCTTCCTCTGACTCGTTGGGCCCAGCTTGCCTGTTGTTTCCACATCCTTAGCTGATCTTCCAGTCCCGGCAACAGCTCAGGCTTCTCTGCCCCGCCTTCTTGGCTGATCTCCCAATCACAGAAAAGGGCGGGGCAGAAAAGTCTGTGCTCTTGCCCATGACTGGGAGATTAACCAAGGAGGTGGGAAAAAACAAGCGAGCTGCGCCTGATGAGTGGCTGTTACAAACTGCGACAAACCAGGACAAACCGGTTCATGCCCACCTCTACTAAAGACATGGTGTTACAAACTGCGACGAACCAGGAACAAACTGGTTCATGCCCACCTCTACTAAAGACATGGGCTCCATGGTATATCCTTTCTGACACACTTAGGTTACATATGAAGTCCCAGTTGCTGGATTAAAGCATTATGGGCTTCAAAAACACATTTGAAATGAAATCAACTTTTTAACTTTCTCGTGTACCACCGGAGTGAAGAGATTATCTCTGCAGTCTCCCAACCAAGGTGTAGAAATCTTTGTTCATTTTGACCTGCCTCATTCTAGAGAGCATTTGTTCAAATGCATTTTTGGAACCTAAACCAAGATGCTTTTAAAATCCTTTTCTTTTAGGCAAGCAATGGAGCAGCAGCAGCAACAGCGCCAGGAGACTTTGGAAAGGAGAACCTCTACCACAGGCATGTATTGTGTTTTTGGAAGCAATGCAGACACAAGCTTTTCCCTGCTTTCCTCCTCTTAACTCTTGGCTGTTTCTTGTGCTGTAAGGAAAATATTTGACCTGTGGTATACTGCTATAATTATTCTGTGCTTTGGAAACATTTCACTCAGACATTAAAGGCGAGGCATGGTAGTACATAGAGGAGTACTGATATATAGATGTCGTGAAGTTGAAAAACTCAGCTATCTGCGCAGTGCTGTTTCAGTGGCTTCTGATTATCTCAAGGGCATTGTCACACCTCAGGATTAAATTGATTTTCATTTAAATTGTGTGGGATGCTAACGGGAAGCTCATGTTGGATAGATTTTTATTTTAACTCCACATTCTGCTCCATATTGGCATACGGACATGGAGAATATAATATGAGAGGGGCTTATTTTTAGGCTCTGCAAGATTGCATTGTGTCACTGTGAAGCCACATGTTTGATTCTGTAAAACAACAGAAAATAAGCTCTTAGTTGTTCTAATTTAAATGCCATTTCTTTACTTTGCTATAGCTGCCTGGTTTCTGCTTCTGTGTGGCTGTTTGCCACCGTCCTCCTAGTAACATGGAACTGCCCAAGCTCCTCTTCAGCTTGGGAGCCAACTATCACCGTCCTCCTAGTAACATGGAACTGACCACACAAGCTCCTCTTCAGCTTGGGAGCCAACTATGCTAGCAGGAAGATTAATCACAACATACTCTCCTCCTGTGTAGTCACCTAATTTCATGTGTGCAACCATACAGAAGTGGCAATCAACCCACTAAAGTAACACGAGGAGTGATAATCATACAAGATACATTTTAAGTTCAGTGCACTGCTGCATTGTAAACAGATGTTCCTGTACATTGGCTACATACTCAGTTTTGTTATGAATATGACATTAGCTGTTTCCCCTTAGCATGAAGGCAACATTATATGTAGGGCACAGAATTCCATCAGCCAGTTCAGAGGGACACTGCTGATAGTTTACAGGCTCCTTCAGGCTGAGTAAATGGCCTGAACACACCTGATGCTCTTATTTTGGCATCGGCATTCCAAAATAGATGGCTACCTGATCAGTGCTTGAATGGGAGAGTATCCAGAAGTGTCTTAAAAGAAATAAGAAAAAGGTAAAAATCCAATAGGTAATGGAATAAATAAACACCTGTGAATTGCATGTGGAGGGTTTGAAAAATAAAATAATGTTCTGATTGAGTAGGATTTGGAGGTGTGATCAAGGATGATGACCAAAAGAGAGTGATAATTATCACCAGACAAGGGCAGTATTGTGTTGCACGTTGTCTGTGAACTAAAATAAATAGCAGCTTTTCTGGCTTCATCTGGATACCCTTAAACCTAAACCTTTGACTGTACTAACCTTCCCCTGCACCCTTTTGAGTGCTGGCTTGATTTTCCTTTGTTTTTGTTTTGCTTTGTTTTGTTTTTTGTTCTTCTCCCTCCCCTCTAATCATGGTACCTTTTGTTCATTTCTCAGTATCAATCCATTTCATTCTTTTTCCCCCCTCCCCTCTTCTTTTCTGTCCCTTTTAGTTTCCACCCTTCAGATAAAAGTGTCTTCTTCCCCTTTCCACTGCCAGTCTCCTCCTCCAGACTACAGTAACTACAACACTTCTACTTCCTCTGCCGCTGTTCCTCCACCTCCTCCTTACGCCAAAGTTATCTCCTCAGCATCTCCTCCTCCTCCTCCTCCTCTCCCTGGACCTGTTAGCAAAGGATCTTTCAGAGCTACTGCTCATGGGGCCAAAGAATCCCCTCTTCATTGCCACCGACCACCTGCGCCTGAGTTCCCAACATCTCCAGGCCCTTCTTTTCCTCCAGCCTGGCCAGGCCACAGGACAGTTACAAGAAGCACCAAGCAGATCTCTCTGTCCCCTCCTCCTGTCCCAGCTTCCCATTATCCTTTCACTCCTCATCAACCTCTCAGATGTTCCTCTCTCTCATATTCTCCTCAGTCTTCTTCTCCTCCTGTGACCCTTCTGCCCCCCATACAGAAGGGGCTGGTTCTGCAGCCCCATATTCCAGTAGTCCTTCCTGTGATTCCTGCCCCAAATGGCAGTACCCGAGGGTCTACAGATACAGTGGTCCAAGATGACTCAGCAAATGTACCTCAACTAGGTCTGAATGGCCACCATGAAGAACTTTTAGCCACGCGAATTCCTCCAAGTTCCTCCAGGACCCAAGTAAAGAGAATGGATGGGTCCTTTTTCTCGTACTTAGAAGCTGTGCCTGTTTCACATCTACCCGTTATAACTGGCCCATCTGGGTCCTTTATCCAGGGTTTCTCTCGGTCCTCTCAACACTTGCCTTATTATCCGCACCAACTCTATCCGTCCATGTCACATTTTGTTCCGTTGCCTCCTCATTATGCCGATGTATCTGAGGTGAATTTGTCCAAGAGGATCCCTCCTTACATGACTTCATCAACCATTTCCCACTTCAGTAAGTACTTGATTTGCAAGCATAATGCCTTTAAAAAAATAATAACGGCAAGCCAGTTTGTTCTGTTAGGAAAATTCCTAAAGCCATACACAGGGAATACTTTTAACTTTCAGCTGAAACCCTCTCCCTTTTTTTCCTGTCAGAAAAACATTTAAGGGCTTTGGAGTAAATTAGGGCAGTGTGAAAGTACACACGAAGAGTTGGACACGACTAAATGACTAAACAATAACAACAAAAGTACACAAGGTGTTTTGAGGCCTAAGGCCTCAAAATCTTACCTTTGTAGTGAAGACATGAGGTAGCCTTCAACAACCTCCTCTTGTCTGCAGTACGTAACTAAATAATTCTGTGAAGATTCTCAGTCATCCAGGTGTGATTATCTGGAAGCTGAGTCATGGCAACTGGGTTTCTTTCCTATTAGGTTGAAACATTTTGCTACTCATCCAAGCAGCTTCTTCAGACGGATGAAGCTGCTTGGATGAGTAGCGAAATATTCACCTGTGGTTTTTGTAAGTTTTTCGGGCTGTTTGACCATGTTCTGCTAAATAATATTCTCCTATGGTTGTTGTAAGTTTTTTGGGCTGTTAGACCATGTTCTGGAGGTTTTTCTTCCTAACGTTTTGCCAGGCTCTGTGGCCAGCATCTTCAGAGAACAGGAGTTAGAATTCTGTGTTCTTGTGTAGAGTGTGGGATAGTTGAACATTTGTAGGTGTGGGATCAGCTTTTTTGTTTTCAGGAGATTGGGTGATTATGGTGATCAGGGTGTTTTTTTGTTATGGGTGTATTGTTGTGATAAGGGGGGAGATGATCTCTCACTGTGATTGATGGGTGTTGTTAGCTAGTCTTTTGTATGCAGTGATCACCAGTCCTTGTGGCTGGGGAGAGTTCATTGACCTTTTTTGCAGACTGCATTTTTCAGTGCTGGGAGCCAGGCTTTGTCGAATTCTAGACATTCTTTTTTGTTGAAGCTGTGCTGATGTTTGTGAATATCAATAGCTTCCCTGTGTACTCTAACATAATTTTTGCTGGTGTTGTCCAGTACTTCCATGTTTTGGAATAGGATTTTTTGTCCAGCTTGTTTCAGGGCACGTTCAGCTAGTGGGTGGCTGTTTTTCTTCTTCAATTCGGTGTTGTTTTCTCGGTTTGATGGCTCTTGTGATTTCATTCTTGGAATACCCATTTGACTGTAGGGCCCAATTCAGATGGTTGAGTTCAGTGCTGAGAAACTGAGCTTCACAGTTCCGATTTGCCCGGTCTACCAGTGTTTTGATTATGCCTCTTTTTTGCCTCTTTTTTTGTTGTGGGTGGTGGTTGGAGTTTTTGTGTAACATGCTGGTCTCTGTGTGGGGGTTTTCTGTAGATCTTGTATCCCAATAGCAATGGCTTCCCTGTGTACTCTAACATAATTTTTGCTGGTGTTGTCCAGTACTTCCATGTTTTGGAATAGGATTTTTTGTCCAGCTTGTTTCAGGGCACGTTCAGCTAGTGGGTGGCTGTTTTTCTTCTTCAATTCGGTGTTGTTTTCTCGGTTTGATGGCTCTTGTGATTTCATTCTTGGAATACCCATTTGACTGTAGGGCCCAATTCAGATGGTTGAGTTCAGTGCTGAGAAACTGAGCTTCACCGTTCCGATTTGCACGGTCTACCAGTGTTTTGATTATGCCTCTTTTTTGTTGTTGGTGGTGGTTGGAGTTTTTGTGTACATGCTGGTCTCTGTGTAGGGGTTTTCTGTAGACCTGGTGTCCCAATAGGAGGTCAGGTTTGCGTATGACCATAACATCTAAGAAAGGGAGTTTGCCGTCTGTTTCTTTTTCGTTAGGAAGAAAAACCTCCAGACACGGCCGAAAAACCTACAACAACCATCGGATACTGGCCATGAAAGCCTTAAAAAATACAATATTCACCTACTTTACACTGTTGTAGGAAAGTTATAAATGGGACTACTTTAGATGTTAAAGCAATATATAAGTATTAACTGGGATACAGGATATCAGCTATCTTGGCTAAAATCCTCTTGGATATTTTCATGTGCGCAATAGAAATCATAGACATGCAAAAAAGAATCGTAGACATTGCTGTGGCTAATTGACAAGATGCTGATTGCATATTTGTCTGCATGCCAGTCCTGTGCCAGGCATTCACCCTACCAAATGGTTGGAAGCTCAGCATAGTCATTCCATTGTTTTTAAAATGAGTCTGAAATTATAGGCTGGTTAGTCTAATATATACTGCAGCCAAAATCTATGCAAAATTTGTTTTATAGAAATTGGAGATGTAGCAGTGAAAAATTCCATCTTAGAAGAGGAGGCAGGCTTTAGGAAGGAAAGGCTGTTACTGAAAATTGTTTTACTATGTTGTATTTTATAATAAAACACACTGTAAGGGCTGGACACTTCTATATTGTGTTTATTGACATACGTACTGCGTTTGATTCAGTTAGTAGAAGTCTTTTATGAGGAAAAATCTTGAAGACAAGTATTGTTTAGAGACTTCTCTTCCTTTCTATGGAAGAGAAGCCTGAATGTTGACAGCACCGTTGGGAGCAATCAAGATGGACTACAGGATACCCTCTTGGTGCTCACTACCATTCACAAAGTGATACCAAACAAGGAAAATTCCAGAAGCTGACTCCTTTTTTTCATCAATTAACCTACTTCTAACCCAAGTGTGAATGGTAACAGTCTCTCTTACTCTGTACAAAATTTGGGGAAGTTTGGACAAATAGTTTTTGAGTAATTTTTTTAAAAGTAGAACTGTGAAGTCCAGTTTGAAAATAATAATTTTTAGAACTGCCTTGTAGAATGTTGATTTGCTCTGCTGAGCAACAACACAGCTGCATTACCATGTGGGCATAATAAGCAGTTAAAGGAGTCCAACAGATCTATATTCTGGCACCATTTCTCTTTAATTTTTGCGTTAACGATACAGTTTCAACTGTGCATAGTCTGTTTTCAAATGCCCAGTGGCTTGGACAGGTTAACATTCTTTTACATGCAGACAATATGATCCTATTTTCTGCAACAGAGGTAGATCTGTTTAGACAGCTGTAAGATCTTTGCCTCTTAGAGTATTTAATTATTGGAATAAGCTTGTTGAAATGACTGATGTTAGGCTTCCCAAAGTTTCTTTAAAGAAGCAGGTGATTAAAACATCAGAAAAATCTTTGCTCTTTGGTTTTTCAAAATTGCTTTCAAATTACAGCTTTAGTGGCTCTACGTGTATACAAATTCAATATAAGAAATGTTTTCAAATGAAAAAAGTTAGATATCAGATCAGAGATGGATTCAGCTGAGCTGTCATCTGTAAGATCTATGAAATGCTTGGCAAGGACTAAAACTCAATTTCAAGAGGAAAAATATTTGTCTTTTCCAATTTTTTAAACATGCGGCCATTATTCATCTTCATTTTGAGCAAATGAATACAATGATACAACAAGGAAGATTTCAGGGCATCCTAGAACAAGATAAGCTTTGCATATATGAGGCAGCGAAGTGGAAGGATTTGCATGCAATTTGTTCTGTTGCCACCTATATTCCAATATGAGAACACTACCATATTTTTCCATGTACACACCCCCCATGTATAAAATGACCCCCTAATTTTGACCCTTGATGGAGGCAGAGGAGCAGTTAATGGGCAACTGCTCCTCCACCTCCATCTCTCCTGCTGCTGCTGCCTCCGCTGGCCGCCCGATCACCTCCAGCTCACATCGCCACCTTCTCCCCTGCCCTGAGAGGATCACTGGAGGAGGTGATCCAGTGGTGGCAGCAGCAGGAAGACATGCCTGAGCGCAAGAGAGTGCTTGTTTGCCTCCGCCTCTGCCTCCTGCTGCCTCCGCCACCGGAGGGGACAAGGTGGTGACAGGAGCTGATCCCGTCAGTCCCACAGGCAGGTGAGGGAGGCAGCAGCAAGAAGCGCCCGAGCGCATGTGAATGCTCCTCCGCCTCCGCCTCTGCCTCCTGCTGCTCAACCAGAAAGCCGTGAGGCGGTGTCAGCAAAAGGCGCCTGAGCAAGTGTGTGACTGCCTCCTTCCGTGTATAAAACAACCCTTAAATTTTCCTCTAATTATTTTAGGAAAAAGTGTCATTTTATACACAGAAAAATATGGTATTTAGCCCCTTTCCTTGACAGCATGAGAGAGTGGGAGGTTGAGAACAAACTGAATTTCTTTTTACAAGAGTCCGATCAGCTTGTGATACATACAGTTGCTCTCTTTGCAGTTAAAGCAGCTGCTCTCCTGGTGGGGGAGTGGATAAGAACAATTTAAGTCAGCCATGAAAGATTTTTATCCTTAGTGGGGTTTTATTGGAATAATATAAGTTTGTTTTACTGTGATTAATTGATTGAGTGATTAAATTGTATACATAATTAGATGGCTCAGTAATTTATGTACATGGCTCCAGAGCCCTAGTGTGGGAGTTCGATTCCCTGCTGTGCCTCCATGACGGAACTCTATCATCCATAGGGTGCCTTCTAGCTCAGCAGTTCTAAGTCTGATTGATAGGTTGATTTTAGTATTTTATAATTTTAACTCTTCTTGAGTTGCATGTTTGCTGTTGTTTTTGTTATTAGTTTATGTTTTTGAATTTGAAATGGTCTGAAGCCTTTTTCGACAAATTATTTATCTTTCTGCATCCAACACTTTTTCAAGTAACCACAATTAGGCACAGCAATGTCTGTGATTCCTATTGTGCACACATAAATATTCAATAGAATTTTGGATGTTGTGGATGGTTATCTTGACACTTCTAACAAGGTTGTGAATTTGCATTTATTAAATCACAGAAAGCTCCTAATGAAATAGAGGGCCTGTTTTTGGAAGGAAAGAAGAGGCAAAGTCTGACTGAAGTATCTTCTTCATTAGTGAACAAATGCTGATTGAGCTTGAATATGACATTTTCTTAAATAAGCAAAGAAATGCATTCCAATGGAAGCAGTGCCTTATAAAGTGCCTTCTCTGGTATCAGACCAAAAAGGTACAAAGTCAAAGAGAGAGAATGTTGTACAAATGCGAAATTAGAAATTTTTACTTGGAAGTTTCTATAATCAGTCAGTTATGAGCTGATATACACCAACATTTTACTACAGGCTTAAATGAAATGGTGAATAGTGTTCTTTTCTGTTGGGAAGATAACCCCAAATTAGGAGGAATGTCATGCACTTTGGCAGATTAGAGATCAAAGTGGTTTAACTGACAAAAGAAACTAAGCTTGTAGGCAGGAAGAAATTAATCCTGTCATATGAGAAGGAATTTGCTCAGGGATAAATGCACACATGCAGAATGGAGAATCATTGGCTAAGGAAAAAGAACTGCTAAAAGAAAGGTGTTGGGTATTGTAGACTGCAAGATGAAAAATAGTCTGTCATGATGGGGGAGGCATTCCTACATTTTTAATTTTACTTTTCTCTACCCGTTGATGTCACAGCTGCTGAAGTGTGCTAAGAATCTAGGTATTAGTTAATAGCAGAGTGGTCACCACAATTCATTCTATCTTGGCTAGATCATTGCCTTCTATGATAAAATAGTTAGAAAACAATATTGGTTTAAAATATTGGAAGGGATAGATAGATAGATAGATAGATAGATAGATAGATAGATAGATAGATAGATAGATAGATAGATAGATAGATAGATAGATAAATAAATAAATAAATAAATAAATAAATAGTGGGTTGTCCTTGCCCATTTACAGGCTGCAAAAATGAGGAAATTATTCATTAAATAAATAAATAAATAAGTATATTGAGCCTTAAGACAGCATGGGAGATGGGGCTGTAGGATGACATAAATACTGGAAAGTACATGTTTGTTCAAAATTCAGTATACAAGTATCATATTGAGAAGTTTTAAAATGGCAACCACAACCCAGTTTTGAGAATGGGTGGATTAAATGGGACAGTTTGCTTTTTAAAGGAGCTGGGATACTTTTTTCAAGAGAATCACTGCTGCTACTTAATTCCTTTATTTAGATTACTTTGCCATAGTTATCCTTTCATTAACTATAAAACTAATCATTAATAGTATTGTTACTACTTGTAATGGATTACTTTCCAGCTCTGGTTAGTAGCCACCCCAACTGTTGCTTACGTGCATGCTTGTAATACTGTAGGGATAAGTGCAATATTAGAATGACTTTTTCAGATAAATTAGAGAATAAGATGAATTGTATTGGATCAGACTGAAGGTTATCTGTCTGTCTATGGTTTATTCTATTAAAATACAGTATTGTTTTATCCTACCCTGCGTCTAAAGATCTCAGTGAGACGTCCAACCCAAAAATAATGTTAAAATTATGTTCTAGTGTAGTGAATGCCATTAATTTGTGTGTATTCTAAAATATAGAAATGTCTAATGTACAAGAATTTGGAAGCGAAAACGGGTCCATTTGGGTTTAAAAATGTCTGGAATTTAATTTATTAGGAGAATGCAGGAAGTCTTTTATCTAGTAAAGACTATCAATTATTTCAATCCAAATGACAATATCCAGTCTAAGGAACTGGATATTTGAAGAAATATTCTAGGCCTTTACTTTGACTACATGAAAAACATTCCAGAATATCTGTGAAGATTCTTAATCATCCAGGTGACGGTATCTGAAAGATGAGTCGTGGCAGCTGGACTTCTTTCTTATTAGGTTAAAATGTTTTGCTATTCATCTAAGTAGCTTCTTCAGTCTGAGGAGAGTTGGTGGGAGACCCCTGATATATCCTCCACATTGGTTTCACTTCCCCCTGGCCTGAATAAGCTCATTAGAAGAATAAAGGACTGGCGGTGAGGGAGCCTCTGCAGTCCTTCTCCACCTATTGTCGTGGGTTGTTAACACCTATCTTTTAGGTGGTTTGAGAGACAGGTCAGGTAGGCCATACATGTGCATATAGAAAATCCCTCACTCAACAGGGGTGGAGACCTTAGATACAATCCGCCTCCTATTTATCATGCTGCACTTCCATCCCTCGCCATGACCACAGACACCAGAAAGACCACTGTTAACGACCCATGACAATAAGTGGAGAACCATAATTGTTTCTGTGACAACTGTGGGACCGTCACACCCATACTTTACATTGGCTGAAACCTAGTAGTAAGTCACAACTGGAGTAGAGCCATTGAATCTATGGAACATATGGAAGAGATGACTCATCAAATCCCCTCTGAGTCAGCGGGCCTACCTTAGTTGTGACTTACTACTGGATTTTAGCCATTATGTCTGAGATGCAGGATCTCCCATCACATCCTTCCGCTTGTGTAATGGGATGCTTAATAGATTTGTATTAGAGTTACAAGCACATAGCACTGCTTCACGTGGAATCAGAATTTTGTTGGCAGGACCCATCTCTTTATATATAAAGCCATATCATTCTCGTTCTGAGAAACGTAAGAGCTACTGTATACTACCCATAGTCCTGACATTTGTTAGAATCTATTAAGTTCAGCAAGAAATGGTAGAATAACTGTGGGACCTACTTTTTTGATTCTTTGTAACAAACAGAAATATAAGCCATGTAAAAAGTCTATATCAATAATCAATTCAGGTTGTGATTATGTGCACAACTTTCCTGGGAGTAAGCTTCATTGCAAAGAATCTGGGTTACCTTTAGATAGATATGCGTTGTGCTTGAAATATTAGAACTTCCAGCTTGACCTCATATAGGGTAAAGATAATTTGTGAACAGAAGCAGGTTCTCAGCTCATATGGATCTAATTTTGCATATGCAAAAGAAGACTTCAGCAGGGAGACAGAAGTTGCACAGTTGTAATGTGTATGGATTAGCAAGCAGATAATTGGCATCTTGGTGCTCCCACAGTGCTTGTGCTTCCAAAACTAAAAAGAATGGATGCACATGTTTCTCCCTTCCTTTTATAGTTTACCTCTCCCGGTGGTGAATTCTATGAATGAAAAACATCCATGTTCTATCCAGGAAATAAGGCGTGCTTTTTGGGTCAGAGCAAGTGCTCTTTGTGTTGTCATTCAAATTCAAAGCAAAATTAAACTCACAAGGGCAAAGAAGCATTTGTAATTTCAAGGCTGAATTAGATACTAATTTGAAGTACAGTGGACCCTCTACTTACGGAATTAATCCATATTGGAACGGTGGTTCAGGTCGAAAAGTCTGTAGGTCGAGTCTCCATTGACCTACAATGCATTGAAAACTGATTAATGCCGTAACCGGGCATTTTTGTTCCATTTTGGTTTTTTTCTGGTCTGTAGGTCGATTCTCCGGCTGCAAATCGAACCTAAATTTTGTGGCCAGAGAAGTCTGTAACTCGAAAAGTCTGTAAGTTGAGCCATCTGTAAGTCGAGGGTCCACTGTACATCTTCCTTGTGTTTAGCTGGTCAAATGTGCGCGCCCCCCTTGCTTTGAGAGTTTTATTCAAAGATCCATGTGGCTCTGAGACTGGAACGTTAACTCCAAAGCACCCTAAACTGAGGATACAGGGGTGGGGAAAATCATGTGTTGTGATAAGCAGTTTTCTCTTGAGGGAGCATCACATCTAGTTCTACCTTTGGAGCAGACCAGCAAATGTAACCTTTAGTTACTGTTAACTCCCAGAATGTCCCAGCAGCTTGAATCAGTAGCAGTATCTAATAGACTAAAGCAAACTGTGTTAAGCCCTGAAGAAGACAAGGTCATAGCTTCAGATATTAGTTGACTTTCCATTTCATGGCTAACCAAGCAGCTCAGGAAGGAGGGAATTTGAGCATGTTAGGAAGAGCTGCAGTCCATCTGGTAATATTCATTGCAGCCTTGCCCGTCCTAAGCAAAGCATAGACGTAGCAAAACGGATGTTTCCCCTTAAATAAGACCTAACCTGAAAATAAGCCCTAGTATGATTTTTCAGGATGCTCGTAGTATAAGCCCTACCACAAAAATAAGCCCCAGTTAAGTGAAACTCTACCCTCCACCCTTGTGCAGCCACCAGAAGATGGCAGGACTGTATTTGAATAAGTGTAGATTGTTGTACATGAAAAAAAAATAAAACATCCCCTGAAAATAAGCCCTAATGCATTTTTGGAGCAAAACTTAATATAAGACCCTGTCTTATTTTGGGGGAAACACAGTAATTTTTTTGCTCAATACCAGGGCTTGCAAAAGTTACTGTAGTCATTGGATTACAGTTCCCAGTAGGATTCTGGAAGTTATAGTTCCCCAAATTAATTTGTCCAAGCTCTGCTTTGGACACATTTATTTCCCAGGGATGGGTTTGCAGCATATTGTTCAGTATATGTTGTTGAATCTTGCCATGCATAAGACCCCTAAAAATTACTTTTCTTTCCAGTCTTGTGTTTTAGCTACTACTTGTCCCTGGCACAAAAAGAAATGGGCGGGGCAAGGGAGCAAGGCAGCATCATGTGGTTTCTGAACAGTTCTTCCGTATGTTTTAGGTCCTGTCCTTCCACCAGGTCATCCCTGCGCCGGTGTTGGAATACCCGCTTCATCTGGAGGACCTCCTCCTCCCCCTCCCCCACCTCCTCCACCTACAGGAACTGCACCACCGCCTCCACCTCCACTGCCAGCAGGTAGTGGAGGAACAATCATTGACGATGGATCAGTTTCAGGATTTGCAGCAGCTCTGGCTGGTGCCAAACTAAGAAGAGTACAACGGGTAAGAATACTTATCCTGCCGTGGTATTAGGCATCCCTGCTGGGACTGGAAATTCTGGTTTTCAAATCTCAGCTCCACCATGATTTCAATGGGGGTGGAAGGACATTGGAAAGTCACTGCCTTTCTCAGCTGTAACTTTTTTAAAAGATCTTAGACAGGAAGGTAACAGTACTGGCAAATAATATAGCAAATGTCCCAGGATTGGGACGGCCTGATTCACATTATTTTCTGCTGACTATGTTTTATGTATGAGTCAGTGAGAATTGGTCTGGAGTTCTCCCCTACCCCAATCTGAATTCTTTTTCCTCTATTATTGAGGCTTCTTTTTTGTTGTTGTTGTTGTTTTTGTTTTTGGTAGCAAACACATTTAGGCTAATTCACACAGTGCAATCACTTGAGCTGATTCAGAGAAGCATGTGCAGGGATGCTGATTTGGGGAGAGAAGCAAGGGTGCACTTGCAGATGTTTCTCCTCAAATGTCTTAAGAAGCCTGTTTTGCTACCTTCTGGAGGCTCCATATCTTGTCAGCTATTTTCCTCTTAACCGCCCAGGAAAGTGTCAGTCGTGCCTACAAAATGATCTCGCAGTCAGCAGTCCCAAGTGACTGTCTCTTGCCCAAGTCTATGGATTGTGCCTTATTTATTTATTTATTCATTTGTTTGTTCGTTCGTTTGTTGTACTTATATCCCACCCATCTAATGATGAACCATTACTCTGAGAGGCTAGTAAAAGAACATGTAACAAAACATTCATCTCAAAATAACATATGAGAATAACAGAACAAACATAAGATCATAAAATGGTATAACATAGCAAAACCCCACCACCAATGGCAAGAGCAAATCAATTAAACATGACTGGAAAGAAGAACAAACGCATTGATCAGATTGCTTCAGCCAGGACATTTCCCAGCAGGAAGCAGACACCACAAGAATAACATAAAAACCTAGCATGGCCCCACACGGAGTGGTACATTCCTGGCTCAGTCCGAGTTGCTAGAGTTCAGACCTTCACTAACGATACTGTGGGATTTTTTTCTCTTTAAAGGCTTAGTGTCGGCACTGCAACAGAGTTTCACTAGGGCAACTAGGAGATAAAAAAAGGCGGAAAGAGAGAGGAGGAAATTGCTAATCAGTGCATTACAGCTTGCTAATATAGCTCTGCTGTAGCCATGCCTTCCACAAGTCTAGATAGCTACAGCAGAAGCTGCCTTAACAAACTGCAGACAATAACTGATTGCCAATTTCCTCCTCCTCTCTTTCCTGACTCCTTTGCGATAGGCTAAAATGCACTCACCTAGGGAAATCTGACTTTCTGAGTGTGAGTTTACAGCTGATCAAGGCAGATTTTTCCTGTTATGTAAGCTTCACCTCATGGATTCCCCTCATATGGGAGTGGCAGATGTTCCAACAATGTGTGGCAAGTGGCAGGTCGTAAGGCATAAGGAAGAGGGAAGTTAAGAAGCCAGCGTAGATACATTTCCTCTTGGCTACCAACCCATGTGATTCAACCAATAGCAAAAAATACATGAACTGATTTCTTATCTTGTAGAAATTATCAGCTGAATGTATACCAATGTTTTGATTGTGCTTAAATTGAACTACCTAAGGTACAATTTAGCTAGTAGCTGAGTGGCTTATGTCTCTGGCTGTGGAGCCAGAGGTTGAGAGTTCAAATCCCCACTGTTCCTCCTGTGAGTAGAGCCAGCCTGTGTGGCCTTGGACAAGCTGCACACTCCCAGGGCACCCCCAGAAGAAAGGAATGATAAACCACTTCTGAGTATTCTCTACTAGAAAACCCTGGAAAGGATCACTGTAAGTTGGGATTGACTTGATGGTTCTGGGAAATTTACTTGGAAATTATGTATATGTAGAATTGCTCCTTCCATTAAAAGGGAAGCAGATTCCTGCCTACTCAGCATGCGTGGCTTTGGATTAAATGGCTGGTTATAATCAAATCATGTTGTATGTGCACAAGGAACAGCACCTGAAGGTTTTTTTGTTCGGCTATCTCTCAGCAACTCCAATGTCAAGGGGCATATTCATTTTAATAATATGTGTATATAAAAGAAAGGCTGAGACTGAGAGGAGAGATTCACTCTGTGTGTTGTAGTTTGAATATGGAGATAGTTAAAATTTAAGATAATGCATTCATAATTAAGGTAATGGTTTTATTAATGTCTCTTGGCAACCAGAGACATTTATTCTATTATTTCATGGAAATAGCTATCCATAAGGACGTAAGAAGAGCTCTGCTGGATCAGGCCAAGGACCCATCTAGTCCAGCTTCCTGTATCTCATAATGGCCCCACCAGAGGCCTCTGGAAGCACACGAGACAACTAGATACCTGTCTCCTGATACACCTCCCTTGCATCTGGCATTTTAAAGTACCTTCCTTTTAAGCCTGGAGATTTTACATCCCCATCGTGGCTTGTAACCTGCAATGGCCTTTTCCTCCAGGAAGCTGTCCAATCCCCTTTTAAAGGCATCTAGGCCATATCTTGTGGCAAAGAGTTCCACAGACTAACAACACGCTTGGTAAAGAAATGTTTTCTTTTGTCTGTTCTCATTCTCCCAACACTCCATTGGAGTGGATGACCCCTGGTTCTGGTATTGTGTGAGAGGGAAAAGAGCTTCCCTCTATCCACTTTATCCATCCCCTGCATAATGTTATACGTCTCAATCATGTCACCCTCCTCAAATGCCTTTTCTATTGACTAAAGAGCCCCAAACGCTGTAGCCTTTCCTCATAAAGTAGGTGTCCCAGCACAGACATGATTTGAGTCGCTCTCTTCTGCACCTTTTCCAGTTTCACTGTTGCTTTTTTGAGGTGCCATGACCAGAACTGTGTGTAATATTCCAGGTGCATTTTCTACAATGGTATTATTATGTTAGCTATTTTATTTTCATTCTCCTTTTTAATGATACCTAGCTTGGAACTGGCCTTCTTCACTGCCGCCACACACTGGGTTGACACTTTCATCGAGCTGTCCACCAGCACACCAAGATCTCTTTCCTGATCCATCACGGACAGCTCAGAACCCATTAATGGATAACTAAAGTTTTGATTTCTTGCCCCAATTTGCATTACTTTACATTTTCTTATATTGAAACACATTTGTCATTTTGCCGCCCATTCTCCCAGTTTGGAGAGGTCCTTCTGGAGCACCTCACAATCCCTTCTCGTCTTCACCACCTAGAAAAGTTTCATGTCATCTGCAAACTTGGCCACCTCACTGCTTATCCCTGTCTCCAGGTCACTGATGAACAGGTTGAAAACCAGCGGTTCCAGGCCAGATCCCTGGGGCACACCGCTTTTCACCTCTCTCCATTGTGAAAATTGCCCATTGACACCTACTCTCTGTTTCTTGGTTCTCAACCAATTCTCACTCCATAAGAGGACCTGCCCTCTTATCCCCTGACTGTGGAGTTTTCCCAGCAGCCTTTGGTGAGGGACTGCGTCAAACACCTTCTGAAAATCCAGATAGATAATATCCACTGGTTTGCCCTCATCCACATGCTTGTTGATCATTTCCAAGAATTCTAAAAGGTTTGTGAGGCAAGACTTGCCCTTACAGCAGCCATGTTGATTTTCCCTCAGCAAGGCTTGTTCTTCTATGTGTTCTAAGATTTTTCCAACCGATACACAGATATTGTACAACTAAAATATTTACTTTTTTTAAAAAAAATCAATCTTTAGAAAGGTAACATGAAGAGCTGTTTTGGAAATGCCAAATAAAAAAGCAATTTTAAATTGCTCAGCCTCATACTGTGTTTAAGCTGTTGTTGCAATGAGAGTGCCAGTCCCCTTTAGTATCCCAGAGATCTGAGTTGTTGGTTTCTGTCTTAAAAGCCAGAAGATGGATCAGGAGGGTCCAGTCCCAGTGGAGCTTCTAAAACTGATGCTAACCGAACAAGTAGCGGAGGAGGAGGTCTAATGGAAGAAATGAATAAACTCTTGGCAAAAAGGTTGGTGATTCTGTATTCTGTCTATTATAAATGAAGAATGCTGTATTTTGCATGGTGTTCAGAGAAATTGCCATTGCCTGTCTTGCTCTGAAATTTCTAATGCCAAGAGTTAATTGACCGTTATCCAAGAAAGACAAAAACTGGTAATCGTTCGGAGTTTTCAAGCCAAGGATTTGTTCAGTCCCTACAGATCAGTAGTTCCCAACCTTGAACTCTTAGAAATCCTGGCCAGCATAGCTCATCATGAAGGCTTCTGGGAGATTTAGTCCAAGAACATCTGGAGACCCAAGTTGGGGAACCACTGCTCTAGATCAGTGGTCCCCAACCTTGGGCCTCCAGATGTTCTTGGACTACAACTCCCAGAAGCCTTCACCACCACCTCTGCTGGCCAGGATTTCTGAGAGTTGAAGTCCAAGAACATCTGAAGGCCCAAGGTTGGGGACCACTGCTGTAGATCATAGAATCACAGAATAACAGAGTTGGAAGGACCATCAGAGTGCAGGAATCCAACTCAAAATATATCTGACACCCTCTTGTCTAACTTCCTCATGAATGTCCCCAGTATTAGAGGACTCAGCACCTCCATAGCTTAGAAAGCTTACGTTTTAGGCTGCAACTCCCAAGAACCCCTATGCCAGCGATGGCGAACCTGTGGCACGGAGAGCCCTCTTTGTGGGCACGCGAGCCATAAAACCTGTGGCACGCAGAGCCCTCTTTGTGGGCACGCGAGCCATAAGTCGCTGGATCGCTACCTCTGGCAGCCAAACCGGAGGAGGAGGCTGCAGCCACAGTGCTAGCAGAAGGAGGAGGCTGCAGCTGCAGTTCTAGCACCCTGACAGGCGGCAGGCCAAGATCCAGAGCAGCTGGTGCTGGTGGAAGATCCAGAGTGGGGTCTGGAGGCACCTCTATGCCCAAGATTCCCCCTTCCGCTGCCACTTCTGCTTCCACCGTCGCTACTTCTGCTGCCACTACCACCCTCCGCCGGCTGGGTTGTTGTTTTTTTAATCAGTGTGGGCACTCAGGATCAAAAGCATTCACCCTGTGCCATTGTGGTTGCTGTTTGGAGGGTTCTGGAAGCTGCAGTCTTTTTGCCGTCACTACTTCTGCTGCCACTACCACCCTCCGCCCGCTGAGTTGTTGTTTTTTTAAATCAGTTTGGGCACTCAGGATCAAAAGCGCTCACCCTGTGCCATTGTGGTTGCTGTTTGGATGGTTCTGGAAGCTGCAGTCTTTTTAAAAAATGAACTTTTCCAAGCTATGGATGCTGTTTCATTGTCAACTCAAGAACAAGACCTACAGTTTCAAGTTTTATTGGCCTGTTTGCTGCCTTATGTTGGTTTTCCATCAGAAAACAATTCAAGCTCTGGGGAAGATTATATAGCAGAATATATTGACTTATTAATTTTTTGAAGTTTGTGGTTGGTTGATATCTTTCCAAGGGACCAGTTTATAGTCTTTTTTTTCCTTCCACACTCTCCCAAGGAGGAAAGCAGCATCACAGTCAGACAAGCCAGCTGACAAAAAAGAAGAGGAAAGCCAAAATGTAAGTGTAACTCTCTCAAACGCATGCATTACTGCTGCTGCTGCTGCTGCTGCAAGCAGAAAAAGCAAAAAGTGAAGAAAACAGAATTCTCTCTTTAACTATAATCAGAACATTGTGAGTGAATGGGTTTTAATTTTTTTTAAAGACCATCTTTTCCTCACTGCACTAGGATTGGTTTTCTTGAATGAGATGAACTTCAATATTAGCAGCTTGTTCTAGATCTGTCACATTTCAGAGTCCATGGGGACAATGCTCTGGAATTGGTTGGATACAAGTTCCATTACTGTAATTGAGATTTGGCCAAACTATACTTTCCAAGCAACTTCTCCAGGTAGAAATGAGAAGTGTTTTGAAGAAGGGTTTCAAACCAACTGTCATGTCTGAGGTCTTAGACTGGCAAACAATGCCTGGGGTTATGTCCAGAGGACCAGTTACAAAACAACACAAGCTAAATTGGAAACTGCTGGAGATGTGAGAACTTCCTGCAGTGACAATGAGCCGTTTTCAGCTGTTTAAGAAGCCATGCTTCTAATCAGCATGGGCTGCACCTCTCTGAGGACCAAAGCATCGTTCCTTGGGCTCTCATAGTGATGCAGCCTGTGTCGATTTCTGGACCTTGAGATGGTTCTAGGAGCACACCTGCCTTGAGCTGAGCACTTGATCAGCCCATGCTGATTAGAAGCATGTCTTCCTTAGCAGCTGTCAGGTGGCTTAAATGGCACTTCTAAGCTACAGCAATAATGCAAGGTGGATTCATGCTTTGCAGCATAAATGCTGGAAATTTAGCATGAGCTTGAGATAGTTCTAGGAGCACACCTGCCCTGAGATGAGCACTTGATCAGCCCATGCTGATTAGAAGCATGTCTTCCTTAGCAGCTGTCATGTAGCTTAAATGGCAGTTCTAAGCTACAGCAATAATGCAAGGTAGATTCATGCTTTGCAGCATAAATGCTGGAAATTTAGTACAGTATTAAGTGCCAAATTAGACATGGTGGTTAAACAGATGGTTTAGTGTTGACTTTAACTTTCTCATAACAGCCTCAAGGAGGCTGAAGAGCACTGGGACTATGATTTTAAAGCAGTGGTTCTCAACCTTGGGTCCCCAGATGTTCTTAGACTGAAACTCCGAGAAGCCTTCACCACCAGCTGTTCTGGCCAGGACTTCTGAGAGTTGTGGTCCAAGAACATCTGGGGACTTAGGGTTGGGAAGCACTAGTTTCCTCTGGTTTTTGGCTTGTTTCAGTCTTTTTATTGATGATTTTAATTTTATTGCCTTTTTTGACTGTAAACTGCCCAGAGTAGATTCGTCTAGATGGGCAGTACAAAAGCCAAATAAAATAAAATAAAATAAATAGTTTAGAGGAAGAAGGTTGATCTTATTCTCCTGTGCCAGACAGCAAAAAAAAAAGTTTCCCCTGAAGCTGCTGTTCATGGAAATGATACAGTACTTCCCATTGCTGTCAAAGGGAGTTGGTGTCATGTGCCAAATAGTACCTTCCATATGGAGAGGTACAGAACTCCTGCTGACATAATTTAACTGATCTGTCCGGACAAGCTAAATTGAATTACTGTTCCCAAGTTTTCAGTTCCACATTTTTATTTTATTTTTTTGTGGAACTGAGGTGTTTGAAACCTCTCTGTGCTGCTTTTAAATAAAATCTCTATATCTTTAAAAGTTCAAAATCTACAGCTGAAACAGGCAGATAATGACAGAAGCTCAGTAAGGAGAAAGCATTTTGACTCTGTTGCCAGTTTTGCTTATTGACAAGCAAATGTCCATTACACAGGGAGAAAAAGTCTTTACACACCTCCAGAAAGAGGAGAAAAAACCCGGTAGTGCTCCATAAGTCAGATTGGTGTGTGGCAGATTTTGTGTGTCTTAGATAACAAATATAGTTTTTAACCAGTTCTTATCGGAGTGATGGTTCCGATGCCGTCAGGCATACCTTTGGTGCCATCACAGTAATATTGCGAAAAAATAGAGTGAAGGATTAGAGGCTGTAGCATACATTCTCCTATAAGTGCTGAACATATTGTGCCTGTTTTTGGTACCTTTGATTGCACATTCAAAGCAAACAGCATTCCTGTCACCTATCTCTAAGAGATACAAGCTCACACTGTTGGTTCAAATCCCTGGCATTTTCAGTTAAAGGGAGCAGACAGCAGGTGATGACTTAGAACCCCACCACCATATGTCGACAAGAATAGTCTAGATGGACAAGGTATCTGACCAGCTTCTATCATACCTAAGGATGTTGGTAGCGCACATCATTGAGAAGACGCACTCATGAATATTGTCTTCCTCAGATGGCCAGAGGAAACATTTACATTTTTTGTGGAGTTGCCCTCCTGTGGTGAATGACATCTGTTTGTTATAGCATATGATTCTCTTCATCTTTGTATCTTGCATATTACAGTATGATTTGTTTTGTGATTGGCAGTTGGAAAATAAACAAAGGCTTAATTTGCACTTTGACTGAGGTGCACTTTTACAGGGGAATCCCATTATGAGTGTGGGGAGGGGCGGAGGTTTAATTCTGTACCGCCTTTTTTCATCTTTGGCGGATAGCCCAGCTGCGGTCCTATCTCGACGTTAGGGCGCTCACTACCTTGGTGCATGCGCTTGTAATCTCAAGATTAGACCACTGTAATGCACTCTATGTGGGGCTGCCTTTGAGGCTGCTGCGGAAACTCCAGGTGGTGCAGAATGCAGCGGCCAGACTACTTCGTGGAGTGAAAAAATACCAACACATCTCACCCACTCTGGCCGCACTGCATTGGCTGCCCAATCGGTTCCGCATCGACTTCAAAGTGTTGATGCTTACGTACAAAGCCCTAAACAGTTTAGGGCCTCGATACCTGGAGGAATGCCTACTGTTACCAAGATCTACCCGTGTCACTCGTGCGAGCCAGGAGGTGAGGCTGAGGAGCCTAACGCCGAGGAAGGCCCGGAAGGAAAAGACAAGAAATCGGGCCTTCTCGGCGGTGGCTCCTCACCTCTGGAACAACCTACCTCCTGAGATTCGCGTGGCTCCCTCACTGGGTATCTTTAAAAATCAATTAAAAACATGGATGTTTCGGCAGGCCTTCCCTCCAGTCAATTCCTGATGTTTCCCTTTCCTCCTCCCCCCCCATTGTTTGTCCCCATCTTGTTGAAATGTGTTCTGCTATGCAAAAACCATTTTTATATATATACTTATTGTGTATTTTATGCTGTAAGCCGCCTAGAGTGGTCTTAACCGACCAGATAGACGGGATATAAAATAAATAAATAAATAAATCCAAAGAACTGGTATTCTTGATAATGTTAAAGTAGTTTGATTATGAAAGGAGTTTTTCTGGACAGAGGTATCTGTAGAACAAAGCAAATAAGGCCTCTCGAGACCCTAGAGAAGGAATCCCGACAAGGGGCTTTGCTGTTCATCTTAGTGGCTGTCGGGGTTCCTGTGACAAGATGTAGCAATTGTAGAAGAATGACTTGTTTTGAAGCATAAGATTGAAGTTTTGTTTGCTGGTTTCTAGGAAGATGCTAGCACGTCCCCCTCACCCGTTACACGAGGCCCTGTTCAGCAGCAGAATTCTTCAGGTATTCAGCTCTGTTACTTGCTGTCTTCCCTTCAAAAAGTTGTTTTAGTGTTGGAATCAAAATTCACTATTGTGATTCTGAATATTGGAAGGACTGTCCAAAACAAAACACAGAAGAAGCAGGAAGCAAGAGGTTCCTGGAAGCCGCTCTATGGGAAGAAAATCCCAGGTTGTGGGGTAGTTAAAAGCGTCTTATGGGGAACTTTGGAAAGTTACAACTCTTAAAACCCAGCAAATTTAAAAATGCTTTCAAAAATATTCAAGTGTTCTGTCAGAGCAAACAGAATTAATTTTTGAAATATTCATTTTTTTAAAAAAAAAAAACTTTGTTTATGGGGAACAAAGTTACAACTCTTAAAACCCAGCAAATTTAATGGCTTTTTAAAAATGCTTTCAAAAATATTCAACTGTTCTGTCAGAGCAAACAGAATTAATTTTTGAAATATTCATTTTTTTAAAAAAAAAAAACTTTGTTTTTATCAGTTTCTCAGTTTTTGTTACTTTAAGCCTAAATCTGTTTGTCTGGTTTTATCTGTCTAGCACACATCTATTCCTTTCAGGGCAGGCAAGCTATGTATAAGCTCTAGGAATTTTTTTTTATTTTTAGTGTGTGAAAGCAACTGACTCTTCCACAATCAAGCCAATGGTGATTGTTCATTTTATCCTGTTTTGCTTTGTTTTTGAACAGACACTGGGAAAAAGCCTTGGGAACGAAGCAACTCTGTGGAAAAACCAGTCACTTCATTACTCTCAAGGTAACCTGGAGAAAACCTTCAGTAAGGCACCTGTTTACATAGCATCTGCATGTGCTCATGTCATACTCTCTCTCTCATTCCACTGCCATAGAAACGCATCCGTGGGGAGAAGTCCCGAACTTAAGAGCCCCATAGACTTTCAACCATGCATTAGGTACTGGGGAAAAAATGCTCTGTCTCCTCTATTGTTCTTTGGCTTATCTGTTGCAAAATTGTGTCATTTTTCATTCTTCAGCTAACAACAGCCTGCACGCCTGGTTGCAACTCACTTTCAGCTACTCCACCTTTAAGCAAACACTGTTCTCAGTGGGTTTTATATAGGAGTGACATACGAGAAGCTAATGGCATCACGGCTTATTCTGTCCGGGAAAACATACAAGGCCTGACATGCCTCTGTTAAAGGAGCTCATGTTATGTCACTATGAGAGACAAATGGCTGATTCTAATACAAATGTATTGTTTGAGGCTGCATGGTGGTTTTCAAAAGAAACCCTACCACTATGTGGCAGGCATGGAAGGCCTTGATGGAAATAGTATCAGTGGTATCAGAAAGGGTCATTTCAGTGCTGCTGTCCTCAGTGTGAGTAGGGAGGTCAGGGAAGGTTCTTTACAATCACATGTGCCTAAGTGTGGACCTAATCCTTGGTGTAATTGATAGTCTGGTATACAGAAGACCCCCCCTCCCACCAAAAATACATCATGTTTGAAATTCCCTTAGATTTTGGCCAAGTCTGCTGATCATGATTGGCCTTGTGTGTTACCCATTACGCGCTGGCAGCATTCAGCAGCCATTCTCAATGGGAGCCCTGGGGACACCTGTCACATTTGAAGGTGTCCACAGACTGGAAACAGGTCGTCACACACCACCTTACGAGGTTTGTTATGCAACTTACATAATTGTGATTCAGCCAATATTTCTTTCCTATTTGGCTGTGGCCAAAAAAAAGAGTTGAGAATGGCTGATGTAGAGGCTTCTGGTGTAGCAAAGTCTGCAAATGTGTGAGTCAGGAAGAGGAGGTTCAAAGAATGTGTGATAGAGAGACCCCCCCCAACTGTTCTGTGCTTCCGTAAAGACGAATAGAAACAACCAAATGGCTGTTTCTCCAACAGTGTTAATGTATTTGTGATCCATTAAATTGTCTTCATTTGCAATCCATTAAATGGTCTTCAACAGACAAGCATGCCATTGAGTCTAAAAGCTGGTTTTGGCTTGCTCTCTGAAGAAGACAAGGGAGATCAAGCATCGTAATATACAGAAGAGGATTTCCTGTGTTGGACACTGGCCCAGAAATATGTGAGAGAATCCTTTGGTTTTGAAGCACAGTGAAAGAGCTGTGGGTGTGTATTGCTCTGCACTTAATCTGTTCAGAAGCATTCATCAAAATATTCACCAGCCATGGAGATTATGAGATCATACTCTAATTAGTATCTAGTAACATTGCACACGAATAGTTGTTTCACCAGTGAGTTCCACTAATGCAATTGCATGATCGTTTTCACACTTAATCTGTACTGACTGTCTGCCCATATCATATCATTTAGAAACAGGTCATACAAATTATTTCTCCTCCTTGCACCTGACAAATTTTACGATATCGCTTGTGCACTGCCGGTCCTGACCACAGGAGGTCGCCGTAGTTCAGCTCTTAGAATGACTGGTGACCAAAATGGTAAAAGGAGGAGAAATTGAGGGGATCTGACCACACTCATTTCTTGGCACACGAGGATGCCTGTGGCTGGAGCATCTACAGCCTTCTGGGTTGGGGAAACAAGAACAGGGGCACATGGGATAGGAAACATATCTCAAAATGGTGGCGGAAGCCAACCTGGCCTGCAGACTTCTTAATGGGGCATAGTAAATTATTAACAGCAGTAGAAAGCTCTGCCCTAAAGTAGTCATGGGAACTATCTGGATTAGCATTACAGATCAAAAAGCTCACGTATGCTGGTGCATTTCAGCTCACTCCTCCCTGCTTCCAAGTGCATTTGCAAGCTGGAAATGGACGTCTCTCACTGAAGCATGGGAGACTGGGCTTAAGGGTGCTTGCTTAGTTAGACCGTGCTGACTGCTGAGTGGTGAAAGGATACCAGTCCACTGTCCAAGCAATCAACAGCCCGTGAGTTGACTGGTGTGCTTCCATCTGCCTTTCCAAGCTTCTCTTTCTTATCACAATCAATTGATACTTATCATGTCTTAATAAACTGGTGGCTTTGAAACTGGCAGAACATCTCCTTATTCCCACTTATTTCTCTCTTTCTCAAGGATGAAGCCAGCCAGCAGCAGCAACGATGTGGCAATGGACACCTTAGATTTTGATCGCATGAAACAAGTGAGTTTGCCTGTCTGTGAATGCAGATTGGAGAGAAGCTTGTTCGTTGTTTGGATGTGCTAAGCCTTTTTGCACAGCACTGGTTACATCACGGACGGGGATTTTGTGGCCTGTGGACCCTAGCAGCTTGCCAAAGCTATTGTGCAGCTACCCAAGCTGCACCAACTCAGGGAGGGGGAGCAAAGAAGGCAAAAAGAATGAGAACCAACCAGGAGGATCTCTGAGTCTAGAGACTGCAGGGGTTGCATTGGGAACCTTCTGCTTGAAGAACAGATGGTCTACAGCTGAGCTATGGCCCAACATACGCAATAAAAACATAGGAAGCAGCCTTATACAGAGTAAGACTGTTGGTTAATCTAGCAATCTGCATAGACTGTTAGCAACCATAGTTTCAGCCAGTCCTGCCCTGGGAGAGCCACAATAAGACCATCAGACTAGGAAGCATATGGTCAGCCGCTAAGAAAAGCTTTGGGGCTCTGCTTCCTGGAAATCCCACTTCCAGTGGGTTCCTGGAAGGCACCTGCATGCAGCAGCCAGTACACGACCCATGAGCACATTATCCCCAAAGTGTTTTGCTTGCATCAAAGCACATCCCCAGCTATACATGCAGGCTGTGTGGTTTCTTTATAGAAAATGTACCATGTGTGAAGCGGCCCTGACTCTTGTGTCAGCTCCCAGGTGCCTCAACCTGGACGTTGTGCCAGGACATCCTCTTCTAACACAGGAACATATGAAGGCAGTATGCATTCTGTGCTGAATTATCCAAATTCTCTGTCAGGTCACTGGGGCTTTTTGCACCATGATGATCTATACAAACCAAAGTATACTCATTCATATTTTTTTTTCCTATCAATAATTGGTAATATACAAAACAGCTCAGGTTTTTAGAAATTCTGTAGGCATGAGAGGAGGAATCCCTGGCATGGCATACATACTAGTGGGTGCTCAGCACCAGGCTGTTACCTTTAAATCTGTCTGGGGGCAGACCGGGGGGGAGGCTTAGCCTCCTCCCCCCCCCAATCTTTGAAAAACACATTTTGATCAATGGACTACTCTTTTCTTTTCCTAGGAAATATTGGAGGAAGTTGTAAAAGAGTTGCACAAAGTAAAAGAAGAGATAATTGATGGTAAGAAGCAAAGGGGAAGACATACATCCATTGGGTTGACCTATGCCAAAAAGACAAAGATGGGAGATCTTTTCTTGTTCTTAAGTTAAGTTTCCAATTTTAAATCTTATACAGGCGCGGAAGTGCATTTGAGGTACCATAGCTCTTAGCACTGGATACATTACAAAGAAACCCTGGGAGGATGGATATGACTTGATTTTGTCAGTTACATTTATAGCCTTCTCTTTTTTTAGTTCAAAGCAGTATACCAGGGCACTCCTCACTTTGCACTCGGAAGAGTCTTCTGAGACAGGCCGGACTGATTAAGAATAACAGTTCCAGGTCTACCCAGTGAGACTCACAGCGGACTTGGGAACTGGATCTGGATACTCCAGGTCCCAGTCCAAGCCATCTGATCACTCTACCACACTGCCCTATTAGTTTTCTATCAATTTAATTGTCATGGGTCTCTAGCCCACTACCTCAGGAAACTGTAGAGCGGCAAGAATGCTAATTCTGTTGTTGTTTGGAGTATGTACTGCAGTGTCCACAAAGAATTGTTACTCCCATCCTTCAATAAATAAAGTCCAATAAATATAAATATAAATATAAATATAAGTCCAATAAATAAATATAAGTCCAATAAATAAATAATAAATAAATAAATAGTTATTCACAACTAGAGTTGTGGTTGTTCAGTGTTTTCAAGTCATCTCTGACCTACGATGACCCTATGAAGGCGTGACCTTCAAAATGCCCTACCCTTAGCAGCCCTGCTCAGCTCCTGTAGCCTCGAGGTTGTGGCTTCCTTGAGACCCACAGAATCGGAATCAGTGGAACTTGCCTCCTAATGGGACTTACATGGTGCCATTTATTTTATGGGTCTGCTCTGGTTAGAATTGCAAGTAGATCTAAGTCTTAGTCCTGCTCTTCCGCCTGGTCAGGAGGTTGATTTCTGTGTTGCACAGAAAAAGAGCCTCGCAGCTGATGAAAATCAGGGAGTACTTCAGCCATGCCTTAAACACACAACTCAGACTCATTAGTGCCTGGAAAAAAGCACCCCTTTACCTGGCACTCTTTCAGGACAACAAAGGATCAAAGGATCACATTGTTGGGCTCATTGACTGAATTGCAGCTACTGCTTCACAGAGGAAGTGAATGGATATCCTGCCATATAAGAGACACCTTTTTTAAAAAAAATGTTTTAATAGAGGTGGCCCCACAGAATTTTCAATAGTTCTTTATTGACAAAATGAACACTCCTACAAAATGGAAGGGTTGCTTTTTTTAAAGAATTTATCTACAGCATTACGGAGGAGGAGGGTGACAGATACGTTCCTCACAAAATACTGCCAAGATGGTGGGGTGGTTGTAGACATGGGCTGTTTGTATTTGCATTCCTGGAGATACAAATATTAATTGCAGCACCATGGGTGCCATGGAGGCCCATTCCCTTCTCCCAGAACCAGCCGCATGGGTGCCACAGAGGCCCATTCCCTTCTCCCAGAACCAGCCAGCCCACTCACTGTTCACTGCACAGTGCTTGGCTCCGTCATCATTTTTGCACCAATCACAGGAGCCCAGCCAGCTCATCCCTGCCTACCCACACAGCCAGCCACCCGTTAGCTGAGCGGGGAGACTCCCCATCCCATCTCCATGCCGAAGTGGTTGACTGTGTGGGGAGGCGGAGAAGAACCTTCTGCAATTGGCACAGCAACAAGGGAGCCGAGTGTCATGCAGCAAACAGTGAGTGGACCGGCCAGTTCCGGCGGGGGGGGAGAGAATGGGCCTCTGTGTTGCTGTGATTCATATTTGTATCCCCAGGGATATGAATTGTCCATGTCTAGATGGTTGCAACCCCTTCACGGATTGCTGCCTTGTCATGGCAAAGGGGCTTGAGTAATTCAGAGAAGCTATGGGCTATGCCGTTCAGAGACACCCAAGATGGACAGGACATAGTGGAGAGTTCTGACTAAATGCAATCCACCTGGAGCAAGAACTGGCAAGCCACTCCAGTATCTTTGCCAAGAAAACCCCATGGAGAGAAACAAAAGGCTAAAAGATATGATGCTGGAAGGTGAGCCCCTCAGGTCGGAAGGCGTCCAACATGAAAAACCCTGATTTGACTTGACAGCACATGACTGTTAGGATTCCCAGGGTGGTGACAGGGTGACAGACTAGGACTCTGGAGAGCAGGGTTCGAATCCCCGCTTGGTGAAGAAAACTCACTGGGAGATTGGAACTAGCAAAACCACTCCTTAAATATCTCACTTACCTTGAAAGCCCTGTTAGGGTGACTATAAGTTGGTTCCAACTTGTCAGCACAGAACAACAACAACAACATAAGGCCCACCAGCCCATGCATGATTCCGTAGGTCCTGCAGAGTACTTGGCTGCAGAGCTTAAGGCTGAATTTGAATTCTCACTTTGCCTCCTGGGAGAGAAGCCAGCCAAGGTACTCCAGAGCATGTGTGTCCAGTGGTGTTAACTTCCCTTCCCACCGTGCAGCTTTGGACAAGCTGCATGGCCCCTCAGCACCCCCAGAGAGAAGACTGGTAAACTAATGTTGAATACTTTATAAAGAAAAACCATGGGAGGTTACCATGAGTCAGGCAAGGGCTTATTATTGCAGACCTGTCCCACAGATGAACTACTGTATATGCTGTGTTCAGAGGTTCATCCCTTTATCTGTCCTGAGGACCTGGAATATCACTTCTGAACAAGGCCCTTAGTCCGATATTGACCTCCACACTAGTTTACTAGTATCTAACTGCTTCCAACTTTGTCTTGATGCAAATCCCATCCACTCACCACTCTAAGTCAGTGGTCTCTGTATTATTTAGGAAATTGTGATGATACGTAGTCCTAACAGAAAGCTCGGCTTATGCCTTTTTTATTGGTATTTTTTTTCCAGCTATCAGGCAGGAGTTGAGTAGAATCAGCACAACATAATGGCTGCAAAACCATCTGGAAGTCACACAGGATATGAAAGACAGCCGAATGATTTCTAAATGTACCAAGATCATGTGAGATGGTGAAAGAGGACACCTGGATCTGTTTTTTGTTTTGTTCTTAAATCCTTTTTATTAGCAGACGAAGCAGACTTTGAAGCTTGCTGCTGCCTTGGGATTTGCTTCATTACAGAAAAAAAAAGAAGTCTTAAAATCTTAAAAAAGAAAATATTAAAGTTTAAACTTTTGGATTTTTTAAATTTCATCTGACAATGCACATCAGATTTGGTCAGCCTTTTTTGTATTTTGTATTTGCTTATTTAAATGTATGACATTTTTCTTTTTAGTATATAGTAGGTAAGGAAATACGTGAACCATTTGCTTTTACTAGATGACTTCGAAGTAACTTTACTGGTAGTCTGCATTGTAAATGGAGACTTTTTTGCCAACAGAAATCTTACTTGTGACATCCCCATTGGAGGCCGAAAGATGCCAGCCATCAGCCAGCAAGTCACTGCTCTCAAAGCTATCACAATATTAAAGCGGTACATCAGTGCATCACAGTATCTGTGCTCATATTGGTAATAAACTGTTCATTGTCCATGAGACATTGATTGGTTTTTGTTTTGTCATTCTGCAGTGGATTTGGATTCTAGTGTTGAACTTTTTGAATATCATGAACATTCAGACATAGCCTAGGAACCATATATGGCTCATTTCAAATCCGTATGGGGCTTTCAGCTGCACTGCCAAAAAGGAGAGTTGAGCAAAGCATCAGAGACAACATGGTCCCTCAGACTGTAGAAGTTGGCTTGTTGGAGACCTGTCATGTCACACATGTCTACAGGACATAATGTTCATTACCAGAACCATTATCTCCAGTAGACTTGTAGTAGCATTCCCCAATACAATGCCATGAAAGTTAATGGTTGTCCCCGGCTACAACTACCAATATGCCCCCAGGCATGTTACTGGAGCCTGTGGCAAATATACCCAAAGGGCACCCCGTTTAGGAAGACATATCTACAAGGTCTGTTTGCACAAGACCACCTCTCCCTGGGAAATTAATCTCTGACTCCATCACCCATGATCTTCAGGTCACTCTATGACCATTGTAACTTACATTTCAATTTGCAATTCATTTAAGTTCACAACTTAAGTTTGTTTCTTGAGGTAGAAATCTGCAGAACCTATATGAAACATTTTAAATCTCCTACTTCATTTCAGCCGGCCCCTCAAATTTTGCCCCCCTCCCAACACATTTCACTTGTGTTTTCTATAGTCACCAGAAAGGATGTGTGGACCTCCCTCAGGATAAATATTGAGTAGTGTAGGCTCCCTGTTTGCTGCTGCTTCTCTGCAACATTCCCTTGATTTTTCTTTTTCCTGTGCAGGCATACACAACTTTACACTGAAATTTCAGCATGCACAAAGTTAGGTAGCAAGGCTAGTATGTATTCTTTTGTCAGCTGACATCATTTTGTCAACATTGTGATTTGAAACAACCAAAAGCAGTAGAGGAAAAGTAAGGTAGATACATAAAACAGGAATTTAAGAAGTTCTCAGATATTTAATATCATGAACATGTATATTCCATCTAGTACCAGTTTTTTTCTTCATTTGAGATGACAGGGATTAAAGCTGGAAATGGTATACATGCAAAGCAAGGGCTCTGCTTTCATACACACTCATCTGGCCCTGAAATCCACTAATCCCAACCAAGCTTCCTTTTGAGCAAACAGACATAACATTGCAGTGCAAATACTGAAACACAATTATAACTATAGAAAAAGAAATGCATCCTTCCTTATCCACTATCGAAGAGCAAGACCAGATCTTTGATAACTAGGATTCAGGATGACATTGCATAGTTGGACCTACATTTGCAGAATTTACAAGGGCACCTGTAAATTTTGGAAATTCTGTTTTTAACTATTGCAACTAAGTAGCCATTAATAAACTTCTTCATGTTTAATGCGCAGTCTTCTTATAGATTTATTTGGTTCCCCATCCTAATAACGTCACAGGTTGAGGAACTCCACACAATAATGACGTGTTATACACAATGCAGGCCATAAGACCGATTCCATAGTGTAGTCATATTGTTACTAGGCCGACTCAGTTTTTTACCAAATTTCCAAAATTCTGTTGCTTGGTGCAGTAAATTGCAATAAAGTAGGCCCATTGAATCAATAGGGATTTACTATGCTAAGCAACAGAATTTTAGCCATTGTATGATGTATTTTATATATATTTATATATGAGAGCTGTATCTGAGGGCTCCCCACAGTGCTCACGATGATATAACTAGAGATGGACATGGACCGGTTCATCCCAGTTCGTAAAAACAAGGAAGGTGAGCCTGATGAGTGGCTATTTGAGCCAGAGGAGGCAGGTGAAGAGGGCTGTGCTGGCTGCCACCTCTACAAATGGATGAACCGGTTTGTGCCCATCTGTAGTCAAAACCCTCTTATCCCAGCTCTTACTCTTTTTCTCTCTGCAAGAGAAATAACCCAAGATCTATTATTATGGCCCAGATTGCTAACAAGCAATATGATGGAGGTTGGGGAAGAGAAAACCAACAACAGAGTAACAAATACTTTTCAGCCTTTGTTGTCCAAGATAAAAGAGGAAAAACAATGACGTTAGGTGCAGGGCCTATTAGGGGAAGAGTTGAACTTGTTGGTCCCTCATTCAAAACCTCCCTTAATTTACTCTTTAATTCACTCTTTAACCTGCTCTTGCCAGCACAAGTGAAACATCAGCAAAGGAAATAGTACATCAGCACAGCACAGTTTGCTGGAATCAAGTAGGCTCCAGACATATAATAGGAAGCCAATTACCCTGAGAATGCCTCCACACCCTACAGCTAACAACAACTATCACTTTAGCTGCCATGCTTCCACTCTACAGAAGATCCAAACTCTATATTTTGGTGAGGTCCTTACCGGTCTCTTATATTAGGCAAATGCACTGGAGCTCTCTAGCAAATCATTCTAAGTATCAGGCTACAAATGCTGAGATTCCAAGGGATGAAATTGCAACATTTAGTGGGATCAAAATGCAGTAACTGTCTAGTGCAGACACGGGCACCTGAGTGAAATCATGGGTCCATCTAGTGCACGGTTGTCAACACCGACTAGCAATGTCTTTCCAGAGTTTCACACAAGATACTTTCCTAGCTTCTACCAGGAGATGTCAGGGACTGAACTCAGACTGCTGGGGTATGTGCTCTAGCTCAGCAATCCCCAATCTTTTTTAGTCTGTGGACCAGCTGGGGAACGTGGGGCACACACACCCCTGCACTCACATGCATACACGAACAAGCATGTGCACTCTTGCATGGGCGTGCATGCGCAAACGGTGCAGTGCTCGCATGGGCTTTCTGGTAGCACTCGCGCACCGCTAACGGGCTGTGCAGGGGTGAGTGTGCGTGGGGGGGGGGTTGGGAGGTCTGTCTCAGTAGCCTGGTCCGACTCAGGCCATGGACCGGCACCGGGCCACATACCGGGGGTTCGGGACCTCTGCATTAGCTGGCTGAGCTGCAGTCCTTCTACCTAGATTCTGTGGTCTCTAAGTCACCTTCCCGGAGACTACACAACGGCATCCCCCGCTGTACTCTTCACAATCCCAGACCCACCCAAAACGGCCTCTGTGCCCCAACTCTTAAGTTGGAGCACAGAGGCACAAATCTTTCTTCTTCAGGGATGGAAATGCCTAGAATGATGTCAGATGCATACCTTAATGGTACAAGTTTTTAAAATCCTTCTGATAACATTTCTTAATATTTGGATTACAAAAAAAAAATCTTCTGGGAGCAGAAATATCATATGAGCTGCTATTTCTCAGCCTAACAAGCATTTTTCATAAAATATTTATGTGTATTTAAGCAATATGTGCAGGAAGCAGAAGTCTATTATGCTATTAAATGGGAATATAATAGATATCTATTTAAATCCCGGTGCTAGCTTGCATATTCTCTTAACTCTTGAATAAGGGCCGATGCTATCGTCAAAAATGAAATCCTGGAGAACTCGAACCCAAGACTGGTGCTGAGGTAAGGTGTCATAATATTCTGCTGCTATCTTCTTTACCTGCAAAGATTTAAAAAAAGATTCAATCCAGCATTCCATATCTGCAAAAAATTCTCTCATCAAGCCTAAGACCAGCATAAAAAATTTTTCATACATTATTCCCACAGGTAAACCCCACAAATCAAACAAAATGGCTCAGAAAATTTCAAGGTTCATTTAGAAAAGCACAACAAATGATTCAAGAGATACATTTGTTGACAGTTCATAGGTCTGGTAAGTTATATGTGATCAGGAAGGATAGGGAAGATCCTGCCATTCAATAGAGTGAGGCACCTTGCCTACCTAATGGTTTTTCCAGTAGCAATCCATGTAAGTGAGAGCTGGACCGTAAAGAAGGCTGGCCGCTGAAGAATTGATGCTTTTGAATTGTGGTGCTGGAGGAGGCTCTTGAGAGTCCCCTGGACTGCAAGGAGAACAAACCTATCCATTCTGAAGGAAATCAACCCTGAGTGCTTACTGGAAGGACAGATCCTGAAGCTGAGGCTCCAATACTTTGGCCATCTCATGAGAAGAGAAGACTCCCCGGAAAAGACCCTGATACTGGGAAAGTGTGAAGGCAAGAGGAGAAGGGGACGACAAAGGATGAGATGGATGGGCAGTGCCATCGAAGCTACCAACATGAATTTGACCCAACTCTGGGAGGCAGTGGAAGACAGGAGGGCCTGGCATGCTCTGGTCCATGGGTTCATAAAGAGTCGGACACGACTTAATGACTAAACAACAAAAGGCACCTTGCACACTGATTTGAGTCACTACCTAGGGGCAGCAACTTTTTAGTTATGTTAAGTTATTTCTGTAGTTGTGTTTTAATTGCAAGATCTGGGGAGAAGCATTTGTGTGTGGGGGGGGGATTTTTGCATCATGTGACCAGATCATTTTGCTGGCAATATGCATGTTTGGTGCAGGAGGGCGAGTGGTGTCGTTTCTACTTCCCCCAAGACAGCACAACATTTCAGGTGGCCCCTCCCAGAAAAACAGACTGCTGCAGACACGAAGCCGTGTACAGCAGCCAAGAGCCTCTGAGAATCAGACACAATTTACAATTCCTCTTTAAAACATTATCTGGCAATCTAGAACCGATAGGTTCACAAAGAATTCAGATGAAGCAGCTCTTGGTGAAATCATCTCCCCCTGAATTCTCTGTGGTGTCATGTCATCCCCTCCCCCGCTTCCAGCTTTTTCCCCTTCTTTCTTTATTCACAATCTTGCACAATTTAAAATTGTGGACGTTTATGAAGTGTTATATATGCCATCAAGTCGCCTCTGACTTAAGGTGACCCTATGAATGAGCCACCTCCAAAATGCCCTGTCCTCAACTGCTGTGCTCAGCTCTTGTAAACTGAAGCCTGTGGCTCCCATTAGGGAGTCAGCCCATCTCGTATTTGGTCTTCCTCTTTTCCTGCTGCCCTAGCCTTTTTTCTTCTGCATCATTAGATGAGAGATGGGGATATTCCAACCCAAAAACGTGGGCTGGATGAGTTCCAGGTATGCTGTACCTCTGGAATCTTTCTGCAACTTGCCCTCCAATTCCTTTGCTGGAAATTGCAGACCTAAATGGCCTAGCCCTGTCCTACATTGAAAGAAAAAAGGGAAAAGAAAAAAAAAACAATCCTGGAATGGTTGAAATCAAGCCACTTGCAGTAAAGTTTTCTTTTGCAGCATTGTTTCCCTCTGCTCGTAAGGGCACAAGGCTCAGAAAGGCAGAGCCTTGCTCTCCTCTTCTCAGCTGCCCTGCCCTGTTCCCATGTTGACAGGTAAATGCCCTTCGAGGGAAAGGGTCAGGCTCAGTGATGTTAAACTGTCAGCTAAGATTTCTGTCCCCGCGCTTTCCTCCCTCAGGGAAGCAATGCTGTTTATCAAGTTTTGTACTTTCTTAGTTATGTAGACCTAAGCAAATACCCTTAAGGCCCAAAGGAAATTGTTATCAGTTACGAGGAAGGAAAGGATAGAAAGCTACCACCGTTAATTTTTTTTTTACTCTGAGCCAATGACTTATATTTCATTCCCTACTACTACTGCTAGTCCCCTTTCCTTCACACTTGCACATCGAAAACTAGGCAGTCCAAGAAAGTGTGCTGCCTGACGCAGAACAACAAATAGTAACCATTCCTCAGCCCAAATTAAATGTACACAGTACCCTATGGCCAGCCAACAGAGATTTTAGAAGCACCTCTTGCCCTCCTGGGCAGTAACAATATAACCCTAATCAGATCCCAGCCAGCATCGGCTACCCATTCCTCAGCCCAAATGAAATGTACACAGTACCCTACGGCCAGCCAACAGAGATTTTAGAAGCATCTCTTGCCCTCTTGGGCTGTAACAATACAACCCTAATCAGATCCCAGCCAGCATCGGCGGCGAAACTGAAGTCCACACTCGCCATCTTTCCAAGCTCTGACCGTAATAAACAAACATTTACTTCCTTTCCACAATAATCACAATGTGCTGTCAAGTCAATCTCGATCTGTGGTGACCTTTTTTCAGGGTTTCCCTACATACAGAGTGCCCAGAAGTGATTTGCCAGTCCTTCCCTCTGAGGGAACAGCATATACCAAATAAAGCTTGTGTTTAAGGTATCATGAGTAACTTGGAGGGTTTTTCTGCAGCAGATTACAGAGCACCATGGCTGTCCCGCTGGAAAGATCTAGATCTCAACAAGTAACTGACAATGCTTGTTCTCTGGGGTGTTGCAACTGTATACGGGAAGAGAAGAAGAAAAATCCGGCTGGAGGAAATCAACTTTCCTGCTTCCATTTACACACAATGACTGTCATTGCAGGCAGTCATAGGTTTGGCTGCACGAGGCTCACAAACACGTAATAGGTTATTCATTTGCCTGCAGGTAATAGCGAGAGGAAGATTATGAACATTCCATTGTTTGGAAAAGGAGAAAAATGTACTGAAAACAGGCCACCCGCTGGCATCACATTCCACAAAATGGCAGGGAGGGGGGCATCTTTATTTATTTCTGTATTATTAATGTTCCGGAGTGGAAGCTGTGTGAGGGCTGGCCTAATACATTTTCCCAGTCCAGTCAGAGCAGAAAATGTTGACAGTTCATCAACCCCTCCCACAAATAAAGGTGATCATAGTACTCAATGATGACTGAGTTATTTTGGCCCATGAGACATACACTCCTGCAAGCACTTCTCCCCACCTTGGAGGAACATTTCATCCATTGTTAAGTTATTAACAACCAAACTCCTGTCCTATCAAAAGAGCCGGTGTCTTTTTTTTTAGTTGAGGTGGCTTTGGAAAAAGCAAAAGCCTCTGGTGCCAGCACGGTTGTGATGGCTCATCTCATATTTGTTGACAGAACGGGATCTCCTGGCTGAGATCATCTGGCAGAAAAGCCACTTCACGAGCAAACAAGGGGAAGAGTGAAGGAGGAGCTGATTTATACGAGAGCCAAACTCCTCTAAGTTCAGTTTACCATCCGCTGTGCAGACAGAAAGTTAGGTCACAGCCAAGACCGTCCTAAGCAATTTCCAACAATCCTTACTCTGCCTCCTCATCTGCGGCTGCCATGTGATCCTGCCAGGACTGGTCAGATGCCCAAGGAGGAGGAGGAGAGTAGTGTGTGCTGGCTGGTGAGTGGAGGATCCAGCCCAGGACCGGAGGGAGACAACACGTGGCACGTGTGGTGCCGGTCCAATGAACTAACACAATTCACCAAACCGAGTTTCGTGCCCATCTCTATAACATACCTTCATCTTCCCTGTGACTGCACTCCCCTCTACTCCCCCTTTGCCACAATTACTTCCCTTCTTCCCCTCTTCCTTCTTCACAAAAATCTTCCAACCTCCTCTTCATGCCCCCCTCCGGGGGAGGAACATGTCTAGTCTGATGGCCCAGTTCTCTCCCCTCGTCTCACCCTATCTTTGTATATATGGAGCCTATATGCAATTACCTCTAGTTAAAACTCTCTACATAATTGTAGTAAAAATAAAGAAGAGATGTCAAGTAAAATAGTTTTATACATCTAAAGAATTGCATATGTCTAACCTAGCTAGTAACATCAAGAGATAATTCTCTACATCTGCACATCCGAACTGCAGCTTCTGGGAGTTATAGTCCAAGAACATCTGGGGACCCAAGGTTGGGAACCACTGTCTAAAGTAGTAGGATTAGAAGCACTAGGATTTAAGAATTCTTGAATGAACAGGATACATGACACACTTCTTGCAGCACAGAGCAAATATTGATGCTTACCATTGGCAACTTGGATCCAGGGATGCTGGGAAAATCATGGTGTTCCATATGATAACCGACATTAAAGGTGATCCAGTTGAGAGGCCCGTAGTAGGAGTACGTTTCATAGCCTTTCAAAAACATATAATGCTCTGCAATGAAGTGCCCAGACACAGGGTGCAGGCCCATGCAAAGTAATGTCCCTGCTATTAAATAAACAATTGGCTTCAAACCCCATAGTTTGAAGATTATAAGGTCAGCAAACAACTGTGCTAAGGCATTAAAGATTTCCATCTCTGTAATGGCTTTGGGGTTCACACACAGGGGTCTCAAGGCATAAAACAATGGCTGTAAGATCACCCAGATGAGTTTTCGAAAAGGCGTGCAGAAGAACCAACCCTCAAAGTCAGTGGGGATGTCAACATCCAAGGTATGTCCACCAAGGTACCGGTGGTGGTCAATGTGATACTTCTTGAAGGAGGCTGAATAAGGAAGCCCAATAGGCAGGTTGGCAAAGATGGCAAACCAGCGGTTCCACCTGGCCTTCTTGTTCCCAAAGGCGACATTGTGAGAGATGTCGTGGATCGCCAGTGTCAAGGAGTGGTTGATGCAACCCCCAAAAGCATAGGCCCAAAAGAAAATCCACTTCCAGGACAGATTTCTCACCAGGTAGCATGCCAGAAGCTGGGTGAGTACCATTCCCGACACAATCCATTTTAAATGGGGATCTGGTCCCATCAGAGACTTGATGGCTGGATACTTTGCTGAGGAAGGAAAAGAAAAAAATAGGCACGATGTAGTAAAAACCATTTGGATACCCAACGTGGTGTAATGGACAGAGTGTCAGACTAGGATTCTGGAGACCAGGTTTCGAATCCCTGTTCAAGCCATGGAAACTCACACTGATGGAGTGTAGATGGTAAAATCACTCCTTAAATATCTCACTTACCTTGAAAGCCCTGTTAAGGTCATGATAAGTCATTCTCATGAGAATATGTAAGAAGGAGGCAGCAAGAACCAGGATCACCCTCATTAAATCAGGGGTGGGCAACCTCCAGTGGTTCAGAGGTCAGACGTGCCAACCTCCATGTCTCTTGACACCCTCTCAATATTTTAAATTTAAAATGCCCCCTCATGCCCTCCAGGAAACACGGTGCCATTCTGCTATATTAGTCCCCAGCTGTTTTAAGCCCAGGAGATGATCTTTATTCAAAAGTGGCACCAACTAGAAGTGACTCCCAGTTTGGGGAGAAGCCTCACTCTAAGCCTAAAATGGCTGCAAGTAGAACATGGCAATGCTGTCCCTTGTGATATTTTGAGACAAGGAAACGAGATGAAAAGAGATAGGAATATAAGGGATGTAGGACTATGGCAAATTGTTCCTCCTTACATTAGGGAGAAAGATGCAGGGTAGCAACACAGCAGTCTGTAAGCCTTCTAAAGCCTCCCCCTTACTGGAAGGCAAGGCTGTGTCTGTAACACACTCCGGTTCTATATTGTGTGTGTGCGTGCATATGTGTGTGTGTGTGTGTGATATACAAATCATTACATATATGGTATGTGTTTTGTGTTTTTTTCTTTATATATTTTATTGACACACAAAACAAACGACAACAGTGTAGCAAACACCCTGCCTTCTCATATATGTAATGCTATTAGCCTGCACAATGGGAGTTGTTGGGAGGTGCAGCCCGCTATATAGAAGGGAGGCTGTAGCAGAGTGTAAGCAGATAAGGAAGGAATAGAGAAGAGAGAGATTGGAAGAGAAAGTTTGGGTTTTGAGGCAAAGAGAAAGTTTAAAGGGTGAATAGTGAGAGGGGTTATCAGTATTAGTTAAGACAGAAGAAGTTAGATACTGAACACTTTATGTAACTTTAAGAATTATTCTTGAAACAACATGTAATCAATAAACCTGTTCTTATTTCAAAGTTAAGTACTGAATGGACCTCTTTCATAGGAAACATAGTTGGTAAAGAGATCAACTGGTGGCATTGAGGTAAAGGGCGTGTTGAGCTCATTGTTTGGTGAAACAAACAATTGGTATCCAGTGGCAGGATATGAATTAATCCAGTAAAGCCAATGTTTAAAAGTGACTTTTCTGGAGTCGTGGGTACTTTTTAGTCACAGGTCTGTGGGAAAGAAGTGGGTGACCTGTTAGAGCTTTTGTAGAAAAGCTTGGTGAATCCAGATCCGACTCTAAAGGATTTTTTTTTGTTTATCTCAGGATTTGAGAGACCCAGTGGGCTAGCTTGAAATTCAAGGCTCTGAGAGATAAGGGAGCAGTGTTGGAGAAGAGCAGAAGCCAGGATCAGAGCAGATCTGAGGTGATAGGAAAATAAAAGCAAAGGCTTGAAAATAAAATTATTTTCGTGTCTGAGAGCAAGAATAGCTCAGACATAGAGTAACTAAAACGTTGTGAGCTGGAGAGCAGCAGAGACAGCTGCTGAGCGAAGCAAGAACAACATACAATGGACCCTCAACCTACGAAATTAATCTGTATTGGAATGGGGTCCATAGGTCGAAAGTCCATAGGTCAAAAATGCATTTCCCATAGGAATGCATTGAAAACCATTTAATCCGTACCCGGCCCAAGAAACCCCCCCAGAAAAAAATTATTTAAAGGAACTTACCTTTCCGAAGCCTTCCAGGGGTCCCCCACCACTGTCATCGCCGCTGCCAGAGGACTCCGAGGGCTTTGGCACTCGGAGCTCCCTCGCCAACGCAGGCTTTCCCAGGGTGGACTGGACCTACCAGGGGAGGGCTTCCCATGGTAGCCCCAGTCTACTGCCTGGGAAAGCCTGGTAGAGCAGGCCTACCAGGGGAGAGTTTCCCCAGCAGGCCCGGTATACTACCCGAGAAAGCCTGGTAGACCGGGCCTACCAGGGGAGGGCTTCCCCCAGTAGGCCCAATCTACTCCCTGGGCTTTCCCACTACATGGACAACACCAGAGAAATATTGATGGAACCCAGCCCACTCTGCGAAAGCCTGCGTCAATGGGGGGGACCTCTGGAGGCCTTCCCTGCTGCCATGGGAGGCTTCTTGGAGGTCCCCACCACACCGATAGAGCTTCAGAGGCACTATCAGCGGTGGGGGACCTCCGAGATGCCTTCCATGGAGGAAGAGAAGCCCTGGAAGGCATCCCGAGGTCCGCTGCCACTGCAGCTGGGAGCCATGCTGTGCCGGGTGATCCCGGCCATGCTCGGTGATGCAATACAGTTTTGCTCTCTGCAAGCACCAACAGAGTCTGATTATGCCTTGGGCTAGTCTGGAAATAATCAAGGGTATGATTATTGTGCTTTTATGGACTTTAAACCCAAGATAAACTTGCCTTGCCCCCACCCCAAGCTTCAGGTGCAGAGTAGGCCAACATGGATCCAGTCTACCAAGATACCCATAAACCAGGGGAACATGCACTTTATTTCTTCATTATTCATTTGTCTGTCACATTTCTATTCCATCTCTCCACCTGTCCAGTTGCTCTTATCCTTGCCTTAGTCCTACAACAATCCTGAGAGGCAGGTTGGGCTGAGAAGGTGTGACTGGCTTAAGGTCACCCAGTGTGTTTCATGTCTAAGTAAGGATTTCCACCAGGGCTTCCGAGGTCTTAGTGCAATAAATGCATTGAATAGGCTTCAATGCCTTCCAATGGGGGAAACATTGTTTCGCTTAGCGATGTTTCCTAAGGTGATTTTCGCTTAGGGACGGATTATCCGGTTTTCAATGCATTCCTATGGAAAATGGTGTTTTGCTTAGCAATGTTTTCCCATAGCGATGGGGGGTTTTTTGGAATCAATTAACATTGTTAAGCAAGGCACCACTGTATGTTGGAACAAAACATCACTCTCAAAGGCATTAGCTCAGACATGGTGGTGCTGCCAATAGCCAAAGTAGCAGTGGAATACTAGGGTTAGTCTGATATATGGAAGGTAGCAGTGTCAGACCAAATCCCTGCTCCGTGCTTGATTGGCTTAGATCTCTCTAAGCATGTGCAGAGTGCTTTTGTAGTAACATGTTCCCAGGGAGAGAAGTTAACAAACTCTGAGGGAAAAGTGGAATCCCTAACCTCTGAATCAAACCTGGGAGGTCCCAGTCTAGAGAAAAACCCTGAAGTAGCAGAAATGGCTGAATTGGTCATAATGAAGAATCCTAATAGTTCCTCCATTACTAATGAGCAGAAGGAAGATATTACTTTAAATTCTTGTATTAGAAAAGCTAATGAGAATCCCATTCCACTGACACCTGAACACCCAGAGAGGTTTATAGCTGATAAAAACCTGATATGTAGAGAAATTTTATTAGCACCTCATAGGGGTGGAGACGGACATCACAAGCAGCTACTTGTCCCTGTGAAGTATACAGAGAAGAATTTGGAGAAAACTCATAGAGATGTGTTTGGAGCACACATGGGGGGGGTCTCCCTCGTGAAACAAAGGGTTGTACAATTTTTTTATTGGCTGAGAATGGGTCAAAAAATTAGGCAATTCTGCCAGACATGTGATATGTGCCAAATGAGTAGTATTGGGGATGACAAGACAATGCCCATTGCCAGAGCTCTTGATCCCTTGATGACATGTAGGTCTGCAAAAGTCCTTAGAGATCCATTGCTAGAGCTCTTGATCCCTTGAGAACGTGTAGGTCTGCAAAAGTCCTTAGAGATAGCAGGGCAAAGCTGGGGGGTTGCTCAAGAAAAGAAGAGGGGTTGGTGTAATGAAAAGGCCCAAGAAAGAGCATTATGTCCCAAGGACAAAGTGGCGAGGCTGAGACCCACAGAGGGGAGTGAATTGCTGTTGGCATGATCAGAACCTGTGGATTTGTTGCAGCAGCACTGGAGGGCGGAGGAATCTAGTTGCAGCTGCAAAAGCACTTAAAACCTTGCAATGCAAACCCCTACCTAAAAAAAACAGAGATTAAAAAAATAGAACCAGATGAAAATCTCAATACATATAAAATAAACCAAGTGTTTGAGACTGCACTTAAAAGAAACATGCCTGTGAATTTGGAGGTGACCCATGATAGTGGTCCCCCACATATGGAGAACTTCACAACAAAAGTACCTCTGGATGAATTTGTTGGTGAGGAGGAAGGCATAAGCAATAAGTTTTCAAGGAAGAATGCAGTCATAGCTGTGTTGGAGAAGTGGAAGAAACTGCCTAACCCTCCCATAGCTGAGAAAATTAAACCACTATTCAGAAAAAGAATAGGCTTAACCCGAAAGAGGCGAGCCGAGGACATCCAGTGGAGATCAGACTGCCTGATGACTGTCAATCGTCAGAAGAGAGTGTGGACTTCAAGATCTGCCTTTGTTGCACTGGACTCCGACCAGGTGTTCATCCTCTGCATAGATGTGTCGAACGTAGGACTGGGAGCTGTGTTGTGCCAAGCGGATGACAGCCGGAGTCTACACCAGGTGACTTTCATCAGCAGGAGACTCCGACCTGGTGAGAGACATTTGTCTGCCATTGAGAGGGCATGCCTATCCGTTTTCTGGACACTGCAGAAACTAAAGCCCTACATTTGGGGAAGGAAGTTCGTCCTTTGCATTGACCATTTCCCTTTGGTGTGGCTACGAACAATGAATTCCAACAACAGTAAGCCTGCAAGATGGACGCTGAACCTGCAAGACTTTGACTACCAGATACGCAACATAAAAGGGACTCCTAATGTGGTTGCTGATGCCTGGTCTCGAAAACCAAATGACTAATGGATGGATAAAAAAAAAGCTTGTGATGATGTATTAAATGTTTTGGTTATGTCAGAGTTATGA